GGGGGGAGGGAATGGGCAGACAAGAAGAAAGCACAGAGCGGAGCAAAGCCTATCGAGCATCGAGCATCGGGAAATTTGGCCTAGCTGCGTGTGTGAGGGGGCAGGAGGGGCCCGCGCGGGAACACCACGGTGGCGAGAACCCCCCCCCCGGTGTCATCAAGTCGTCCTCCATCCCCGGTGCCTCGCTCGCCCGCTGCCGAGGGGGGGCAGGCCGGGTGTGCGGTGCACAGCGGAGACCTAAACGCCTAGTAGCTACCCACTTGGGATCCGGCGAGAGTGCGCGGGAGAGGGAAGCGAAAAAAGCCCGCTCGCTCGGGCCCAGCCGGCGCATTCCCGCGCCAGGCGTCTCGCGGGGCGGGGGGCGAAAACGCGAGGAAGAAGGTCTGAGGGGGGGAAGGAGGTTATGGGCGGGGGGGGGGCGTGGCAGCCACGAACCCCCCCACGCATGTAGGCAAGCCGGGGGGGGGGGAGGTCGGGCGCGCACATTCCGCCCGCGCGGGTGCCGAGCCCGCCCAACATCCAGGTCCACCAAGTGAGGGGTCTGCCGCCGGCCTGCGCAGGGTCCGCCGAGGCAACACGTCGGGGTAAAAGCCGAAAGACCAAGGGGGACTCGCAAGGGCCAAGGAAAGAGGGTTAGAGGGAGCCGGCGCTGGCAGCAACCGTCCCTGTTGGCTGCCCCTCCGGACAAGCAGGGGGATGCGGAATCCCAGGCAGCAACCATGCTGGGACGAGCACGATCAGCCGGTTGAGAGGGCCTCGAGGGACGGCCTCCATCCGCCTCCCCCCCTTGCCGAAAGTATTGACGAGGGGGAGGGGCCGGGAGGCCCCGCCGCCTGGAGGCGTCAACACCGAGCACCGTCCAGGGGGGAGGGGGGGGGGGGGGATCCCCCCATGCCTCGAGGACGAGCAAGCATGTGTCGGCCGGCCGGTGCGCGTTCGTCCGCCCTGCCCCGGGCCCGGCCCCGGCGGCCAGAGAGGTGGTAGAACAGGGCGAGCGGCTGCCAGCGCTGGAATGTGCCGAGGCCAAGTGCGCTCTCCTCGCCGATCCGTTGCCAATGAACGATCCCCGTCCAGGCCGGGCCGGACCGGGCCGGGCCTCGGGCTGTCCTCCACACGCACCCCAACACCCCTTTCTTTGGCCGGCGAGCGTGCAAGCTTGCATGCACACTTGTCGGGCGCCGTGAACGCAGGTCCGCCCAGGGACAGGGGGGGAGGGGGCGATCTGACTCGAGCATGCATTCCGATCTAAGGACAGGACTCGTAAGGCCGGACAGTTGGTGTGTTTGGGGACATTCGTGCGCGCAGGCTCCCGCGCGCCATGTCCCAAAAATTTGGCTCCGCAATTAGGATGTACGCCGGGCATCCTCTCTCAGAGGGGGGAGAGGCGCCCAACCGGCCGGCGAAAGAGCGCACCACAGTCCGGTCTTCCGGCCTCACTTTAACTGCACCTCGCGGCACCTTTCGCCCCGCCCCCCCCGGGCGCTCAGGAGCAGCTTCGCACCCCAATCCCCCATAAATGGCGGGGACAATATTCCTCGCTGTATATCTCTGGTCCTGCGCCGTTGCCTCTCCTGAGAGGAAGTCCTCCACTCACAGGCGGGTGCTCTGTTGGCCCAGGCGCCCCGCGGAGGATCGCCGAAACCCGGAGCCCAAGATAAGCCCGGGTAGAGGGAGGGGCTTTATTTCCGGCCCCGGGCTGCGGCCGTACTGTCCGCCAGGCGCCGTCGCCAAGGGCGGAGGTCCTCCGGGCGAAAAGGCGCGGTCCGCATGCTCTCGGCCATGTGGGGGCCGGCCCCCCCCCCCCCCCCCCCCCCCCGGTCGAAAGATCGGCGGAAGCCCCAAGCCCGCGTGTGGGTTTCTCACTTCCAGCCTCTTCGGGACGCTCCGGCACTCCAAGGAAGAGAGAGAGAGACCTGCTGCCTCACTCTCTGCCACCGCGGGCGGTTTTCGCGGTCCTGCCTGACTCGGCTTGGGCGCCCGGGTGCAGGCAAGTATGCATTCCTGCCTTGGCGCATTCCACCTGTCCGAAAAACTCAATAGCATTCCTTGTCTTGGAGGCGAGCCGCCTGCTCGGCCCCCCTCCCCCGCCCCCTCGCCCCTTCGCAGTCCGTGTCCCGGACCACTCTTTTGTCACTTCCATTCCGGGTTCCCCATCCTTCCGGACCCCATCGACTTGGTCTCCCTGGCTCTTGCGGAACGAGGGCGAGCTCCTCCTTCCAAGAATTCACCAAGTCTTGAAGCCTTCCAGATGGGCGCCAGGGAATGGGGAACATTATTCCCCTTGTCCGGGACCCATGTTGTGGCTGCTCGCCAGCGGTTGACGGAGACTCACCTCTGCAGGGGCTCGGGGGGGGGACAGGAGGCCGGAAGGAAAGTCCTCCTGTCTGGAGAAATGCACACGGAACGCGGGCGAAGAGGGTTGGTCCTCGGCAGACTCCGTAGGTTCCAGGGTCTCTGATATGGGGTCAGCGCCAGCAAATTGCATCACACGCCCGGCACGTTCCTACGCAAGTATCGCACATGATTATCACTCACTTTGGTTCGCGATCTTTGCTTCCAGCCTCCCAGGTTGTTGCCCCATTGAGCCACACGGGGCTGGGTCACGTTTCATCCAGGGCATCCCTTCCAAAAGTGGTATGGTCTCGACTCCGCCCCTCATGGCGGGCGGTGGTTGTTATTTCGCCAGCCCAACTTCCGGTGTTCGGCCAGCGTGGAACACCTGGGACGAGGGGAGGCCGGAAAGCCTGCGTTCGGCTCCGCCCCGTTGCCGGGACCGGCCCCGGACGAGGATCGTGCCGGAAAGCTGCGAGCGCCATAAGGCATCAGGCTGGGGATGCGGGCGAGGTCCCGCGTCCCGTCGTGTGGAATCTTGGGCGCAGGCATGAAACACCGCGCCAAGTAACTGGTCGCCAGTCGGCCGAGAGTCTCCCACCCGGCCTGCGCCCCGATTCCGATGCCGCTGCTGGGAGCATTGGGCGTTTTGTGAGAGGCGAAGGGGGCTGGTGCCGGCGTATTATCCGCCCTCGCCAACCACCCATCATCTGCTTGTACTTTTGTGGGGTGCCCAGCGAGGTGGAGGCCTGGGGGAGGACGTCGAGGGTGTGGGTGCCTGGTTGTTCCTTGTTTTTTTTTTTTGCTATTTATTTGATTGTCCAATGGGCGTGCTTGGTCGGGGCGGGTCACTTGCCCTTGCGCGTGTTCCCCTCCGGGCCTCGCACATGGGGGAGTGTCCTGGTCCTCATCTTGTGGGCGGGGGGAGGGGGAGGAATTCCAAGTCACTCGACGACCCGAGCCCCTGGTGGATTGCTGGGTGTGGGGACACTTGGGCTGTCCTTCCAGCGGTTGGCTTGTTCCTTTCTCCCCGGGCAATGTCCATCCCGCGGTCTGTTGGTGTGGGGGCGCCCCTGGCCCGATGTGGCAAGAGAGCCTGAGCTTTGCAACCTGGCTGGCGAGGGGAGCTCTTTCACGCGTTTCGAGCCTGTTGGCGGGCGTCTGGCCACTGACTGAGGGTGATGCGCTCGGGGCATGATTTCGCGTCCAAACTCTCCTGGAAAGGCGAGGAGGAGATGGGGGGGGGGGGGGGGCTGAGGACGGCGGCTGCTACTTCGGGGAGGGCCATGTACCCCGGCGATTAGAGGCGTGGGGCTACCTGCCTCGTTGCTTGTCTCCTTCTCCGCCTTCTGTCCGCCTCCCCTCCCCACCTTCCGATCAACCAATGGTATGCGATCTGGCCTTCACCGATGCCCCCATTCCTCCTTCCCCACCTCTCTCTCTCTCTCTCTCTCGCCCTCTGCCAATCCTTCTGGCGATTGGATCGCCACCGTCGCCGATCTCACCACCACTGACCGGAATCTCTTCATTTCTCGCGTGCTCTCTCTCTCTCTCTCTATCCCCCTAGCCTCGTGCTACTGTCACTGTCCACCATGGCGGCGGCCACCACCATGGTGGCCACTACCACCACGGCGGCCACCATCATCACCACCACGGCGGTCACCACCACCACCACCACGGCGGTCACCACCATCATGTTGTCCACCACCCCCCTCGCGCCCATGTGCATGTTCACCATGGTCACCATCATCATGGCCATCACCATCATGGCGGTCACCACCACCACCACCATGGCCACAATGACCAGGCCTGCTGCGTCATCATCTAAGGGAGTTGCTTTCTCGCCGTATGGGTTGAGGTGTGTCCATGACGTGTGTGTGTGTGTGTGTGTATGTGCGCGCGCGCGCCCATGCCTACACACCGCCTGTGGCTGGAATGCCCTATTTTACTTCGTTCCCTTCTCCCCCCGTTGTCCCTCCCCAACTCCCTTGTTCTCTCTCTCTCTCTCTCCCTCCCTCCGCTCTCCAGTCCACTCATGGTCAGGAGAGAAAGGGGCCGGGGTCTTTTCATGTACATTAGTTCTCCCCCTCCTTGTGGTATCTTACCCCCCAGCGCGTGCTGGAAAATAACAATAGTCACCAATAGAAACCCATCTTTCTTGCGACCCCCCCCCCCCTCTCTCTCTCCCTTCCCCGGTCGGTTTGTGGCAATCCGCAGAGGTATGTGCATTCTCGCTAAGTCCCATGTCGGGGGGATGTATCGTCGCGGCCGCGCAACAATCGATGCCCATACCCAAAGAGGGCATGCACTCCGCCGGAATGCACGACCAGCGAATCTCCCTCACCTGTCGAACAGCCGATGGTGTGTCCGGAGGAAATGTCCATCTCGGCGGTCATGAAGAGCTTCCCCGAGTAGATGGGGTCCGTGAAAATCCCCGTGGCCCGAGCCAATTGGGAAATATATGCCAGGACACTGGCCGGAGCCGAGCCAAAGGACCGGCCCGCCGGGGGCCGGAGGATTTCCAACTGGTGCTGATTCGCAGGGCTCTCCAAGGCCGGGGACTCCGAGTGCGGGGGAAAGTGTGCTGTCAGCTGGGCAAGTCCCGCCGTAGCTAGGGTCACCTGTTGGCGGAGTCCCGACGGGTCGCCCGCCATCAAGACCACCTTTGTGGTGACCGGCAGGCCGAGCCAGTCCATGGTGGCGGCAAAGGCCCCGGCCGAGAATCCCGTCCCGGCATCCATGTACACTGTGGCTGGGAGGCGGATTTCCCTGGGAAAAAAAAAACGAGACACATGCGGAAGGAAGACCCCGCCCGGACCCCGGCCCCGAGGTGGTGAGTCTTACTGTGCCTTTTCACGGGCGAGCAGGGGGCAGGTGCATTGGCGTGGCGTACTTGGCCAAAATGTGCTCGGCTACTTCCAGCGGAAGGCTCAGGGCACCCGGCAGGGAGGGAGCGAAGCAGAGGCCCTCGGGCAACACCTCCACCGGTCGGGGGGCCGAGAGAACGCGCCCGGAGGGATGGCCAGCCGCCAGGATGTTCGGTTGACACCAAGCGTCCTCCAGTTCGCGAGAAAGGACCCCGCGCTGGGCAAGATCCCGCCAAACGTGGTGCTCTGGCCGGTCGCCCGGCGCAAGATCCGTCAGATCCAGCATTCGAGCCTCGGTGGGAAGATCAAAGAGGAGCTCAAGCAGAAGCTCATTCGGGGAGATCCCCCGATCGGGGCGTTCCATGGATGGTGACATGGCCAGAGGGTACACGCGTGGCCGGAGACCACCGCAAGAGGCTTGGCCCGGCGGGGGGGAGTCCTGGAGGCATGGGTTGGTCCGCCCGGAGTGCGCTTCCAGCAAGTAGGGAATGAGGACCGGGAAGCCACGCTGGCGAAGGACGGCCGCTGTGGCTGGCAGACTGTTGGACCTCCGGCCACCGATCATTGCGACGGCCGGCCGAGCGGTGCCCGGGTGGGGGTGGGACTCGAGCCAGCGCAAGCAGGAGGCCAACTTGCGGAGCTTATTGCCACCACACTCGGGCGCGCCGAGGAGATCATCGCGTTTCAGGAGAACTCGTCCAGGCGGCCGAGGGGAGGCGGACGTCGCGCCCACAATCGGCAGACATGCCGTGCTCAGCGCCTGAAGCGGGGAGGGACCAGCAAGAAGGGCAGGATCCACCAGGGACGTGACGATCTGCCGCAGGAGGGCGACCTTCTTCGTGATTGAGGGGTGCATCCTCCGGTTGCCCTGCGTTTGGGGGGTGGCTTAGTTGCTGATCCGCGCGAGATTGGGGCAGAGTCGGCGCGTGTATGTGCGCGAGCCTGTGTCCTTGTATCAGAGGAGGCCAGCGGTCATGGGTTGGTTGCTGCGAGGGGCGGAGTTGAGGCAGGGGCCGGGGAGAGGAGAGGATAGGATGTGTGTGTGTGTGTGTGTGTGTGTGTGTGTGTGTGTGTGTGTGTGTGTGTGTGTGTCTATGCGTGTATGTGCGTGTTGGTCTTGGACGAGGGCTCTCCGCCCGGTGAGGCCGGCACGCTCCGTAGATCGCCCCGCGCCCAAAAAGGCTCTGCCGGAGTTGGCAGAAGGCGAGGCACCCGAGCATCACGCGCGCGAATCACGAGAGATCACGTTCGGATGTAACTCCATTTAAAACACCATTCCCAGAGTACATGAGTCTCGTCAGTTGGTTGTATCCGATGCTCTGGCGATGTCCGGCCCGCCCCGAGCGGGCGGGATGGGTCCCTCATACCTACCCCCCCCCCGCCTGGCGGTGGCGTCAGGTGGCGTTCGTGCCCTCTCTGTCGCTGTGTTGCCCTGGGTTCCTGTGTTGTCGAGGTGGTCTGTCGGAAGGAGCCTCGTCCCGGCCTCGTCCCTTGCCAGTCCTCGGCCTGGTGGGGGACCAGATGCGCCCTCATTTAGGTTTACTTGGGAGCCAGGGAGCGATGGTCTTCCTCAACAGGTCCTCCACTTCTCCTGTCCCCGCCCCCCCCTGTCCCGGGCCGCGGTCCCCTAGTTCGGACGCAGGACATGTTGGGGGCTGGTCCCACTCAGGGGCCCTTCTGGTCTTTTTTTCTCCCTTCTCCCTCTCGGGGGAGGGAGGGGGGGCACAACCAACTGGCTCGTGGAGGGTGTCTTGTCTTGGCAGACGCACATGGGTGTGAGGGCGGTCCGCTCCCGATGGGCTTTCTTGGGGGCGGCGATGTTGCCGACCGCCCTGCCAGTTGGCGGGGGGTGAAAAATTCACCCCCCCGTCCTGGCCCCGGTCTGGAGGGCCGCGCAACAAGACACTGCCCCCATTCCCTTTTGTGTGTTCCCCTCGCCCTCCTCCTGTCCTCCTTTCGCCTTCCTCTTCCCTGCCACCCTCCCCCCGTTGCCCCCCTGTTCTTCCTTGCCCACCCTCCCCCCCCCCCCCCGCTCGCCCACCCCCGCCCCTGCCCCCCTGCCGCCAGCACATGCATCTTGTCTGGGGCGGCTCGCCAGCGTGACGGTGTGACGGCCCATCAGGATGATCTGTTTCCTCGAGGATGTCTGGAAGCCGCCCCCTGAGGCGTCCTTCTCACGGAGTTCCCGTCTCCCGGAAACCTCGGCCTTCCTTTCCCCCTCTCTCCCTCTCCTCGAGGCCAGCTCCCCATGATGCGGACCGGCTCCCGCTCGCGCCCGGGTCCCTCTTCAGCACCGGATGGCTGCCGCACTTGTTCCCTCCCAGTGCCCTGGCTGGCTGGTTGGCTGGCTGGCTGGCGGCGGCGGCGGCGGCACTTCGGCCCTTGCCCGCATGCTCTTGCCGCGGGGTCTGGGCCTTGGAGCAGCCTGCTTGCCCCACTCAGTATGGTCACTTTCACCACTTGCACACTGACACCTTCCCTTCGTCTGTGTTCTCCCATCCCCGTCCTTCCCTGCCCCGCTTTTCTCCTTCACCAGGGTCCCCTTTGTCTTTACACCTCCAACATGTTCCGCGTTACTCCCGTTCTCCGCAAGCAGATGGACATCATGTCCGTTGTCCAGAAGCTCGGTGGCCGCATGACCGCTGTCCAGCGCGCTGAGCTCCTCGAGCTGAGCAAGCAGGTGCGTCTCCCCCCCCCTCCCTCTCTCTGCCCCTTCTCCCTCTCCGCGCCCTCTCTTTCTCCCAAGGACCATGCCCCGCCTCTGTCTCCGCTGACCCTTCCTCTCCTTGCACAGTTCACTGAGACCAAGCGCGAGCTTGAGGATCTTTCCAAGGAGCCCAAGCCCATCAACTGGGCCGCTTTCTCCTCCTCCATCAGCGAGAAGGGTCTGGTCGACTCCTACAAGGCTGCCTACGAGGGCCTCGTCGTCCCCAAGACCGATGTCGCCGCCGCCATTGCCGCCATCAACGCCCAGGAGGCCAGCGCCCTCAAGCTCGTCAAGGCTCAGGTCCAGGAGTCTGAGGCCCAGATTGCCAAGCTCCAGGCCCAGCTTGCCGCTCTCGACAACGAGGTCCCTCTCGAGAAGCAGACCGTGCGTATCTGTGCCTTCTCTCTCTCTCTCTCTCTCTCTCTCGCCGTGCACGTGCTGTCAATAGAGCAGCGTGCACGAAGCAGGGGGGCTCGCCTCATTGGATTCTCGCCACACCTCCCCCTCTTGCTTTCCTTTCTTCCCCTCCCTGTATCCTGGCGCCCAACTCCCCTGTGGAGAACCTCCCTCACTGACACCATGCACACCCCCCCCGTGCTCATCTTTCTTCATCCGACAACAGATCGGCCAGATCCTCCGCGACAACCCCGAGGTCAACGCCGAGGTCGAGCTCCGCATGCTCCGCACTGGCTACGCCGTCTAAGTGTGTGTGTGTGCCGTGCTGTGCCTCCCTCCCAGCCATGCGCGCGTGCCTCCCGGTGTAGCTGCGTGTGTGTTTGCCCGCGTGGCCGCACGCATATGCACGCACGCGCTCGCCTCCCCGCCGCCCTTTTCTCCTCATATTTCCCCAGACCGCGCCGAAAGCCGCACCGTGTATGCAAAAAGGAGGGGGAGAGGTCATGCGCCCCTCTTCCATCTGGTTGTCCTCCATGCGGCAGCTCTCGGTTGTCTGGCCTCCCTCCCCCCCACCCAATCACCTTCCCTCCCCTGACTACACCAACACACTCCACAGCGCATCCATGCTCCGTGCCTCTGCCCCTCTTCTCCGCACTGATATTTCCCCCTTTTTTCTCTCTATCCGGGTTTTTTTTTTTGCTCTCTTCCTCTTCGTGTGTATGTTCGGCAGACGGGGGGGGGGGGGGGGGATGTCTACTGGGGGAGGGGTGGGGGAGATGGGATTTTGTCGACCGGTCACCTTTTTGTGACGGTGACTGAGCTCTCCGCCCACACCTCCTGGCCTCTCTGGCCCACTCTCTTCTGCTCGTCTTTGTTCCCTTCCCGCAGTGACCGAGTCTTGCGTACGGGGAGGAGAGAGGCCATGGATGTTCCCAGGCGCGGGGGCGACCATCTTCGAGGGCTCCGCGGCGTTAGCCGTTGTTCTGCAAGAGAGGACTCCAGAATAACATGTGTTCAGCCATTTGCGTTGGCATTCGCCGTGTGCTGTAAACAGCTCATCAGATCTCTCGCCGGGTCTTGAGACGTGTGGGTGTATTCACGTTGGCATGTTGCACCAAGGCCTGTTGGGTTCTCTCTTTGTTGATTAGAGTCTCTATCTTCGAGTTATCCATGGTCCCAGGGCCTCTCTTTGTCTATTTCTCTCTCTCTCTCTCTCTCTCTC